ACACTTGGAAGAAACTCATGACAGATATGCATGTTCTCGATTAGCAAGAAATAGCCAGTTGTATCGCTATTAGCTGACTGACTATAGAAAGCCGATAGAGAACGAACGCAATTATTATTATTATTATATTCCACGTTCAAATTTTTCTTTAATTGGCATAGTATTATTCAAATCTGTTGTTGCCATTTTAAGGGTTTATTTTGTTATATTATTAAAGTTTTGTTTCAATAATAAGAATTTTCTAATAATTATCATCAAAAAAAGAAAAAGATGAAAAATTTATTGTGTAGTATTCATGTTGCCACTATGAACTATTTAGATCAAAAAACAAAAAACCAACTTCGAATTAGAAAGAATTTTATTCATATATACAATAGTGACAAAAAAACTGACTTTTGTACGAAATCGGGCATCATTAAGTTTTAGATCAATTTAGATCTATTTTTTAAAATTTTAAAATTTAAAATATACGCAGCTTTTCATATGTAAATAAAACCAAAATTAAAATGTTAAAAAATTTTGAGACAAAAACTACGAACTGTAATTTCAAGTTTAGTAAAATTTAGAATAATAGAATTCGTTTTGGCCCTCCTCTGAAAATTCTTGGCCATCACTGTCTTAAATAGATCTAAGTTGGGCAAAAAAAATTGATCTGAAATTTGAAAAAAGGAAGTGTCATTCTCACGTTAAAATATTTCAGTTAACAAAATAGATTTTTTATTAAATTATCAAAAATGGTACACTATTTCAATGTAATAATACTAATAATAGTAACAAAAGGCTAGTATTAATAATAGATCGTATAAAATTGTATTATAATACGTAGTTTTTGATAAAATTTTTCAAGTGTGAGCTACCAAAAACATCAAAATGTCATAAGTTCATAAAAAAAAACACGGAAATTCGCTAAAATTTTGGTAAATCCACGAATTCATGCAAAAATCTTAGGCTTTTTGGGGTGCTGTATACTTTCATAGACATTAACCGGGAGGATGAAAATCCGTTTACTTAGTCTCGTACTCGAACTTAAAATATTTTCAATTTAGAATTAAGCAATTTTTACTGAATAAAAGGGACGAATAAAAAATAGTAATCAACACTAGTAAAATAGTGTATTCTCAATGCTGGGAAACGTAGATTATTGGAGGATTTAATGGATTTAGATGCTGAAGACAAAACAAAAGAACAAAAAAAAGATGAACCACAACAATATATTCATTTAAAACTTAAGCAAGACTAAAGATACTTACGTCTACTTTCATTTTGGAAAAAAAATGAGTAAAAATAATAATTAGGGATGGCACTTTAACTTTATTTTAAAGATTAAAGTTAAAGTAGAACTTTAAACTTTAACAAAGTGTTTTCAAAGTTAAAGTAGCACCCCAAATAATGATAAAGTTCTCTGAAACAAAAACTTAAAATAATTATTGTTTAACATAGTATTTATCGAACGTTTTGCTCTGATCTTGTTGCTTGTCATGTTTTTCCCAATCTACAGGCTTAGAGGCCGGTATATTTCCGAAGTTTTGAAGCTGAGGATTTTGGTTATACTGTCTAACAGCAGTCTGGTATTCTTGTCGTTGTGCATTTAATATTTCAATATCTTTCTTGGAATTTGGGTCGTTGCCTCGATATTGTGGCTTTGGTCCATAGACTAAATTATGTGGATTATTTGAAATTGCTGCGTGAAGTACTTCGCCGTGATTGTGATCGCTATGAGTGAGGTCATTGTCAATAATAACACTTTTAATATGCGGTTGGTTTAGATATTCTTCCAGTTTTTCTTTTCTAACATCGATGGTTTCGTTTCTAGATGGAATCAACTTATCTAATTCACAGTTTGGAATTATATGATGATAAATGCAGTCTTTGTTAGGCACTGAATTTTCGCCTTTTTCCACTTTAGCCTTTGGAAAAATAAGATTATTAGAATATTAGCTAAATTAACTACGAGTTAGGTAGAAGAAAATACAAGATGTCGATGCCAATTTTTAAAAAGTGTGAGTACGGATAGGTCTCGTCATCACAAAACTTGAGGTAAAAACGAAATCAAATTACGTCAAAGCTATAATGTAAGTTGATATTTTTTGACACAAATTCATGTCAAGACGTAACTTTATACCAAAAAATGTCACTTGAACGTTTGACATTTTAGCGTTGGTGTCATTTAATGATATCAAATTTCACTGACGACGTTTCATTCACTATAATTGATAAATCAATATGATTTCAAAAAATTCGAAAATAGCTTAAATTTAACGTTTAAATTCAAAAAATAAAAATGTGTCGGAAATTAAGTGCCGTCCAAAATATGCATACGTGACAATAGTTTTCTAATTTTATTCCAGCTGAGCTTTTTTCATGAAAAGAAAAATATTAAAACACTTACTTTAAACTTTTTATCATGCGGACTACCACGTTCTTTCGTGTTAAATACTGATTGATTAAGTTTTGGTAAGTCTTTGTCCTCGACTTCTAATCGAGCTGTTTCTTTAAAATCTTTCATAATCATTTCTTCTTCTTCTGTTAAATTTGTTTTATTTTTAAGTTCATCATATTTCTCTTGATCCTTCTTGTGCTCATCCGAAAGTATTAGACGTAATCCAGCACTAAATAATAAACTATTCGCCTCTTGAGGATGTCGATCATGTATCCATTTTTCTGCTTCCATTACTTTCGAATAGTTTGCATTTGATTTGATATCCTCAGCTAATTCATTACGAATATTCTCTATAGATTTGTTTATGCTTTTTGTTTCTAATATTTTACTAAAAACTCCATAAAAACAATCGTTTGGCTTAGTTTCGACATCAAAGCGGTTTCCATTCGCATCCATGTAATAAGCGTGCCCAACTTGATCAGCCTTTTTATCATCTTTACCGCCTTTTTCTACATATATAACTTCAACACCATTATCTATTTCTTCTTGTGTTCTCTGATAATTTTCATCATTAACTATTTTTAGCTTGATGCCATATTTTTCCATCATGAGGCTGATTTCGGCCATAGTAGCAGGTTTATTATCTCTAACATCATCAGCACGCTCTTCTACTTCTTTATCTACTTCTTTTCTATTTTGTATCGTGCTGGAAGCCTTTGCATAATAAGCCACTTCACATTGCGTATAGGCAACACAATAATCTCTAGAATTGTAATTAATTTGCTCTGCAAATGTTCGATATTTGCCATAGTTTTTCATGAATGTTTTTTCTTCTTCTGTTAAAGTTGTTTTATTTTTAAGTTCATCATATTTTTCTTGATCCTTATTGTGACTATCTGAGTTTTGATTTTTATCAATCAAATAATTATGTTGAATTCGGTTTGAAAGATTACTTGTTAAACTGCTAACTGCTAATGTTGACCATGGTTGTATTAATTGCGATTCAATTATTTGTATTAATTGTTCAGTTATTTTGTCTGCAACAGATTTACTGATTATACTAAATGAATCATATTCAATTTTCATATATTGATCACAAAATGATTTCATAAACTGGGCAACATCATTTTGATCTTTTTCTTGTGGATTGAATTCATCTATTTTACATTTCAATTTAATGCATTCATCACTAACATCAGAATAAGACGAAAGTTTTAAATTATCATTTTCGTCAATAATTTCCAAATTTTTAAGTTTATTCACTGCATTTCTTGCAATTTCTTTATCAATCTTCAGATTTCGATGTAAGATGAGCGTGATTGTCATTGTATTTTTATCAATTTGTGAAAGTTTCTTAACCAACTCTATGTATACGTTATCGATTAACGTTTGTAACGCGTATAGACCATTTAACGTATAACTGGATTTGGTTCTACTGTAGGAATGGGTCTAATAACTGAAGGTATAGCTGATATGTTCACTGCCTATAGAGCATTTAGCAATAGACAATTCAATTGGGGAGATTATTGTAAACAGAAAGCTGTCAGTTTAGTCATTTCTGCTGTTTCAATGGGTTATTCCAAGCTTAAAGATGCTGGAAAAGGTGTCAAGACTTTAGTTGTACGTATATCAGTTCCTCTTCCAGCTAAATTTGTTGCAATGATTATTTCACCAGGTAAGATTTTTTCGACATGTTTCTCTTGATTCATATTATTCATCGTATAGAGTTTGACAGCAGTTGATCTATGTTGAGTTTTCAATAGATCACCAAGTCTGTTTGCATGAGCAATATTTTCACAGATAATCAATACACCTCTATCTTTTTTCGTTTCAATTAATACTGTTGAACATATTTGTTCTACCCATTGAGTTTCATCTTGAGTAACGATGGTTTCTAGTTCAAGATATTGTTTCTGACGTAATTGTGGAACATTGACTAAATCGACATTATAGACATCTTTCAATACTCTTTTTGCTTTTTCTGAACCAAGTGTACCAGTTAGACCATAAATATTCTTATAATTATTTATAAAGCCAATATTTGATAAAAAGTTGGTCGTAAATGTTTCCGAAGTCATTTTTAAGTTATGTTTGATTTGTAAAAATTGATGTAAACCGTCACTCCAATTCGTTGAACTTTGTACAATACCGGTACTATAATAGTCAACTGGCTTTATTTCACCTTCTTGTACGACATAATGGATATTTTCTTGATAATTTAGTGCTTCGATCGCATTATGTATCCATCTGGGTTTTTGAGTTTCATAAAATTCTATATAATTCTTTGGAATTTTCAATTTTTTATCGCTGATTAGACTAGCTAAATATTCATCTAAACATATTTTCAAATAGTCATCTAAATCACCATTGATGACTTCTCCTATATCACTGATATCTTTATTTTTTGAAACATAACTTTCCAAATCGGGTATTTTGACAATATTATTATTATCATCGAGATATTCCAATAGAATTTTTCCATTTTCAAATCCGACCTTACCATTAACCATATACATTGTGTTATTAAACATGATAAATCTTTCCTTAACTGTTAATAATCTTTGCCAAATGTAAACATAAATAACTTGAAAATAATCCATTCCAGCAGCTGTTGATGAAAGACGTGCTATTTTTGAACTATCATCAATAAGCATACTATCAACTTCATCGACTATAGCTATTTCACATTTTTGATTACCAAGTGTACCTAACATACTATATTGATCTCTTAATGTATCGAATTGAAATTGTGATACTTCACCATAGACAATATCAGCTGTATAACAATCTTTGCGACCATATAAATAAACTGTTTTATCATTATTATCACTACAAGTCAAATGAAACATTTTAAATAATTTCATTTTTTGTTTGCTATCCCTTTCTGCTAAAACAGGTGAGCTTGTAATAACATGAACTTGCTTGTTTTTCAATGCATTTATTATTGCCAATATACATACAATTGTCGATTTACCTTCACCAGTAGCGACTTGTAATAGTTTGCCTCTAGTCTTCGATTCAGTTTTTAATGCTATTAAACTGCACAATATTTGTGTATCAGTCAAATAATAACCAGTAAATAGAAAATTGGCCCGTTTTGTAACAGCAATTGCTTCCACGTTGCTAAATTGTTCTCCTGTTGATTTAATTTTGTCTGACCAATGATTAATTTGTTTAACGCCCCATTCAACTATTGGCAATTGATTATATTGAAGTAATGACTTCAAGTCTTCTCTCTTTATTTCTTCTAATTCTTTGGGCAATTCTGTTCTTATATACTGGACTAAAGCTGAATTATTTTTATTAGATTCTTCCAATTCATTTAATAATTCTGTTGGATTTTTGACTTTTCCTTTTAATTGAAAATTATTTTCAATAACCAGTTTATTTAATCCTTTTAACAATTGAATAAAAGTGTTCGATTGTCGAATTAGCTGACTACATTTCTTACATTGTAAAGAAGATAAATTGTATTGATTGATAAGTTCCAATATACTTATATAATTTTCAAGTTTTCGATTTAATTTCATCGAATTAAATGATTCTGTTAGCTCATCAAGTTGATCAAATGTCCAGTTCTTTGTCATTAATAAACATAAATTATCAAATAAGACATCTCTATAACTTTGTTTTTCATTGTTTGAATTTATTTTATTGCATATATATTTGGCTTCAAGTAGACTCTTCAATTGAGTAATATTAACATTTTGAAAACACAAATTGTTTAAATTCAGAGTTTTGATCAAACAAAATTTAATTACATCTTCAAATTCTCGTAAATTATCTATCGACGATATACATTTGAAAAGATTTTCAATAAATTTAATATTGAATTCTGCACAAACATTTTTACAAAGTCGATTCAAATAATTTTCATCAATATTTTTATTTATTAATCGATTTTTTATCATTTCCATACACCAGTCTTCTTTGAATGTACTATAGGGAAATTCATGATTATTTAAAATAATCATTACATCATCATATAATCTTGTACGAATACATATAAATATATCAATAATCTCTGTAATTGATTTGAAATTCAGAACTCTTTGCATGATTAAACTCAACATTTTAACAGATTTGTAATACATAAATTTTTCTTCAATTATTAACCAATTACTGTAGAAATCGATCTGTTCAGTGTCACATGCTTTGAAATGTTCAAATAAATTTGATATAATAAGTTCTCTTATCCATTTTTCTTTGTCATTTTTCTTAAATACATCTAAATCAATAAACTCCAGCGAAACGATTACCTCTAATATATCCAAATACATTTTAACTTTTTCTATGTGTACTCCAGCATTTGATAGGTTTTCTATTGTGAAATCGCACCAATCTTGAAATTGTTGAGATTTTGTACATTCCTTTTTACTATGAATCATTCTTAATCCTTTGAACGAAAAACTTCGAATCAATCGATCATCGTGATCAAGATTATTTTCTAAGAGTGTAATGCAGTTTTCAGATAAATCACAATATTTCAATGAATGATAAATTGATTCAATGAGAAATGGCAATAATGATGTTTCATTTTGGATTTGAACTAATTTTTCAAGAACTTCGGCGACTTTTTGATATTTTCTCTCTTTAATTATGCAACAATAACATGGCAATGTAATTTCGTTACATGTATTTGTCAATAAAACTTGTTCAATAAGAAAAACGAACGCTTGACTATTATAATAGAGTGGGTTGCTGCTTATTGACATTTGAATCAATTCTTCTATATTTTGTATATCTAAAAAGTGACTTTTTATTTTAAGAACTGTTAACAATTCTTTTATTTGTTCATCATTTAATTGAAATCGTGTGTTTAATTCTTTGTAAAGATTACTTTGAGAAAATGCCTGTTCAAGTTTATCGGCTTTATTATTTTTTAGTTTTTCATTAACGATTGCGGCGGCTCTGTCATTCAGATTTTTTCCACTATGATTTGCATCTTCAAGTAATTTTGAACAAGAATTCTTTATTTCTTTGGAATTGGTACTCTCATATAATAGTACAATACTTTCGATAAGATCATCCGTCATTTTATGTTTCGATTTTAATAAATGTAAAATTTCTAAAGTCTTTTCTTGTAATTGAAAATCTTGATCAATTATATTTTTCAATTGATTATAATTTTGTTCTAATAAACCATCTTCATTATTTGCATATGCTTTTAATTTATTCAATAGTTCACTATTCGATCGATAATCTAAGTTAGCCAGTTGAATTTTTGCTTTATATTTGCTTGTCAATTCACTATTATTTTGTTCCATAAATATAAATAAGGAATAAATTTCCTCTTTTATTGTTCTATCACAAGATAAATCTGTACCAATTGTTATGACAGCATCAACTAGACTTGAATTAATCTTTACAAATCGAGCTAATATTCGTAATATATGAATACATATCTTTTGTAAATTAATATTATCTGAATTAATTCCATTTACTAAGATTTTCTCTGTTTGTTGCTGATATCGTTTAATATCGGTGTGATGAGTTTCAATCAACGATCCAAGTGCGGTCAAAAGTTCTTGTTTCAACATAATATCATTTTCAAGTAAAATTTTATTCAATATTTTCTGAACTATATTATTACATAACTTTTCACCCTTTTGTGCCAAATATACAAATATTGAAAGTACATTATCTTCAATTTGTTTTCTATTTAATGCCATTTCTAATTTATTTAAAAGTTCAGCAGATAATGTTTGATTATTTTTTGCTACATTTTCAAAGACGCCAATTAAAATAAATTGATCACTGTTTGGATTGAAATGTTCAATTAACTTATTTAGCAAATCATATTGTATGATTTGTTTGTTTTTTGATATATTGTACAATACTTGTAAAGCATCGTCGTTATCAGTTTCATTTTCTAAAGCATTAATCGTATCAATTGGTAATTGCATTCCATTGTTGGTTTGATCTTGCATAAATTTAATAATTGTTTTTTTATTAGTTGATCGAGATAGAACAAAACCAGCTTTAGCAAGTTCTATTTTATAGAATATGCTCTCAGGTAAATCTTGATTTTGTCTGGCTTTTTCCAATAGTTTAAACGAATTATACCGTCGTCTTGCATTTATTGACATATACAAACTGTCAGCTAAGATGTGTAAGATTTTATTTGTAACTGGTTGACCGTTACGAATAACATTGTGAAAAATAAGGATAGCTTGTTCGAATCGTTCAGAAAAACCAAGTGCATTTTCCAAAATTTGAATTGTATTTGTAGGTATTGTATACCTTTTTGTGTATATCTGAAGTATCTCAAGTATTTTGGTACTATAATTTTCATTTAATGATAAAATACTATCGAATAGAACAAATACATTTTTGTTTTTCTGCTTCGAATTTGAATATTTCATGTATATTCACGTTAATTTCATCTACAAAATTCATTACTCCTAATTTCAAACTTTGAGTGAGAAATAATGAACTTAAATTATCCATATGCATGGTATTGATTGGTTCGCTAAGTTCAGCCAATTTCACTAAACCATATGACAGTGTGGAGACATATCCCGATCGGGATGTACTCCCAATCGGGATATATATCCCGATTGGGATATCATTTTTTGTAGCAAAATTTTTTTTATATCCCGAACGGGATATAGTTTGAAATTATATCCCGATCAGGATATAATTAGATATCCCGATTGGGATATCAAGA